CTTCAGAATACCTCTCCTTCATGAACAGACAAGATAATGCATTCCAAGAATGGCCTGGAATGAACCATTAGACTGGTATCACCTGGAATATTTTCAGCAGCATTTCCTGCATGTTAGGTGAGAAATTTTTGGATACAGACAGGATTTGAATTTTACCAGTATAGAATCCCCTTAAGGAGCATAAGACTATTTCCTACCTATGTTTTTGTACCTTGGTAGAACTCAGCGCATTGGAAAGACATATTGTTTGTTATGAATGAATGAACAAATGAATGAGCAAATGAATAGTTGAAAGAATAAGAGATTGTGGAATATATGAACTCTTTACAAATATACAGAATGCCTTGACATCGTTCTTTCATCCTTTCTCTCAGAGTATTCATCTTCTCCCCTCCATTCTATCTACACCTCTCCACTCATTCTTCATGAGTTAGCTTAAAACATCCTCCCATTTGGGAAATGGCCAGCAATTCCTCAGATGATAGGCTCACTGTCCTTCCAGAACTTAACATATACTTTCTTACATCAGAGCTTTGGGCATATGACTCACACCCTGGGATGCTAAATGAATCCTAAAAGTAAGGAATACATCTTTATTCATTGTGTATACCCAAAGCAGCTTAATGTGCTACCCTTTTCTAGGCACTCAAAAAGTCAGGGAACTGATAAATGTGCAAAGAAGGTGGCTGTACGTGAAAGAAAATAGGACTTATATGGGGACACGTAGTGAAGGGAGGCATTTGGGATCACTGTGTAGAAAAGCAAGAAGTATAAACTGTTGCTACAAAAGGGAATGGTTTCTCATATGAAGTACTTCATGCCCTGACCCTGGCAAGAATAGCCCTATCTAAAATAGGATAGAGGCAATATTGTTTTCATGTCATTTGTTAAACAATTACATATTGGCTACCCACTGACATGCCCAGATGATAAACTGCCAATCAAAGCAGTAAAGGTCTCTGCCTCCTTAGAACTTAACGTCTAGTGTGTTAGAGGGACAATAACCAAGTAATCAGACTGATAAATGCAAAAATCCAACAGTGATTCATTTTAAAAGCTAAGAAGTGCTTAATAGATAGATCTGATCTAGTCCCTAAGGAAATAATGTTTGAAAGATGATATGAAGGATAAATCAGAGTTAACTATGTGAAAAGGGAAAGAGAAGCATTTTATTCTAGGAAGAGGGACTGCAAATGTAGTAGGCTAAAGGATATGAAACATGGTGCATTCAAGAAACCAACAGACCAGGGTGCTCAGAGTTCGGAGATCTTTCTGAAAAAGTATTAGAAGGTATTGACTGAGATCCACACAGGGTTTGGGGACATGTTGATGATTTTATACTTTATTCTAAAAATAAACATAAGAAAATACTGAAAGGCTAGAAGTAACATGATCAAATTGTATAATACATTATTAACAGTAACATCATTGAGTATTTGTGAAGTACTTGTTATGTACCAGCCAGTATTCTAAGGGCTTTGTGTGAATCCCTTCATGTCATCCTCACTATACCACCATGAGGAAGATTGCTGGTATTATCAGCTGCCTTTAGTAGATGAGGCGACTGATGCTCAGAAATTGAAGCCAGAACTAGAGTGAAACAAGCTACAAGCCTGTGAGACATGTATTCAGTTTGGGGTCAAGTAAATGCTGACTACACTTGCACAGCCTTGAGCTGGAGCACCTCCATAAATTGTGCATTCAAAAATCGTCTGACCATTGTCTCAAATCTTAGTTAAATAGTCTATCCTGGGTATTGCCGCTCATAAATGATTAAACTAGCTTTTGAACCCATTGGTGTATATCTCTTTAAAATTTTTCTGTATCTCTAAAGTTTTCTGAAATTCCAAATGAATACCCAGTTGCCCTCCTCATTACTGGGAGCCCATAAAAATGAAATTATTTGCATTGAAAGATTAAACTTCATATTAGATTTCAAATTGTAAATAGTTGAGACTTGGCTGAAATGAATTCCAAGAATGAAAACTGGTAAATTATAAGATTCATCTCATGGAATGGAATATCTTAACACTATTCAGGAGATGAGAAAAAAATGAGTCAAATATTTAAAAAGTAAACAGGTTTTGCCCGTTAATTTTAAGCCAACAGAATGAAAATTAAATCTTCTAGCTGCAATTAGATAAATGGATGTCAGTCAGATATGAACTGCTAAAGAAATTAGCTATGGGGTAGTCTTTAATCTATTTGGGCTTTTTTTTTGTAGGGTGGTAGAAATATAATCTGTTATCAGCACAGGTATGATTGAATTATTAATAATATTGTGCAAGGCCACCTAGAAACCAGAGCTTGGGGACTCTTAAATCTATTCTAATTGAAACAGAGAACCAGTGGACTGGAAAAGACCCTGACTCTTCTTGAGATGTGTCACAGTGTGTGACACGTGGGGTTTGCAACACAGTGGCAGCTGCAGGCTGACCTCTTGGCAAATTTAATCTGCAAATGGGTTCCTGTTTAAGATGGTTAATGCCTTCCATTGTTATGGAGCCTTCCTTCTGTATTTTGGAAAACCCAGTTAAAAATATTTCATGCCAGGTTATTATGCAGATTGCCTGGCTAACAGGAAGATTATGGATGCAAATAAATCAGACTTTGAAATGAAAGGCTTTAGTGACCCCTTAAGAGGATAGTAATATGTGCATAATGGTGAGGAAAATGCTCCCAGATCATCAGGACAAGAAAAGGGTCATATTGTCATTGCTTGAATGTATCAAGGTTGGAATAAAAATCCAGGCAAGGCACACTATATAAGCGAATGAACAGAAATGAAGAATTGCTTGCCTAGTACTAAGTTACCACCTAGTTTCTGATTTTACTATGGGGGAATGTCATTGTCTATGAGGGTGAATGAGCTCCTCATGGGACCCTGAGTAAATCACTTAATCCCTCCGTGTAAATTTCCCCATGGGAATAGTTGGTGGTCAGAAACAGCAGGGTCACTCACCCTGCCTCTTCCTGTGGCCTCCCACTGCCCTTTTTAATCCCAGTGGAAATCTATGACCTTTGTCACTTCTCCTTGTGTCATTTGCCTTCTCTTTAGTGATTGCCTCCAGGTGCTGATCTGAAGTGTCTTAAGTAAACCTTGGAGGCTAAGAGGACAGGCTTGATATTGAGGGGAAATTGGAACTGAAGCCCAGGTCTAACACAACCTGGGGCATGTTCCTTGGCGCGTTCCTACACCTTCTCCATTATCAGCTTCTTCAACTACAACATGAAAACAATTACGTGAACCTTACAAGGCAGAGATTTCTAAACTCTGTTCACTGAAGCCTTAGCATCTCAACAGTTGTTTCACAGAGCCTCTGTGTTCATAAAAATATCTAACAATTTCTTTATTAATAGGGCCAGACAACTAGAGAGATAACAATTAATTAATAACATAGCTTGTTAATTACTTATTCATGGGATATATGAGCATGTTGAGCACCGCACAGAGTCCTGAACTTGCAATCAGATTAGATCTCAGAATTAGACTTTGTCTTCCCACTGCTTTGGTTTTTATCATAGCACCATACTTGGTTTTTATCACAGCAATTGCTGATAACGAAGCTTTGCAAACACATGTCAGGTAGCACAGTCTACCGTTGGAACTATGATTTTCCTCAAGCTGATGGTTTGCATGATATCTGATAGAAATGTTTCTCTGAATATTTAAAATCTCCCTCAGCAAACCTCTGAGTTGGCTGTTGTGTCCTGAGAGACCTCAGTTCACTTTAGGAACTATAGTTTTAGGTAGCATATTGTTTGAGTTTAGAGGATGAAATGTGGCTTTAGGTATATTCATAAAATGATCCCTGCTGCTGTTCTTTCTGCTCAACAGGTTTTCACTGTGGTCATATTTATTAATAAAGAAGGAAAACATGGTTTTATTCCTCCAAGGAATTAAATCCTGCCAACATTTAATCAGCCAGTTGAGATGCCTAACAAAAAACGGCATGTTATGGAAGTGAAGTGTATGCCCCAGAAACTGCACAGTTGGGTTGGGGAGACAGAGTAAGCAGAGGACAGAAGAGTGAATAACTCCCAACTACTAAGTAATAAAGTAGCACAGGATTTCAAAGCATAGCAAATGCAAGTCATGCTAGGGAAGACATGAATTGAGCAAGGCCTTGATGTATGAACAGCTTGGAGACAAGGGAAGGGAGTGAGAAGGCTCACCCAAATTAAGGAATTTAGCAAGTGCGGGTCCTGGCCCTTCCCCTGCTACAGCCAATGGATTGGCCCCAAGGGAAATGTTCAGCTCTGCTCTCCTCAGGAACTTTCCCAACTCTGTGAAGGCCAGATGGCACACTTGCTATTATAGACCTGGGCTGTTCGGAAAAATATTAATTCCACAAGTGTTCTTAGATTACTAGATACATGGCAATTCCTCTAATAAGAATATAAGTCAAACTTTGAGAATAGTCATATGGCAAACTTTTACTTTAACCAATGTTCTGGAGAGGCTCTGAGAGAAAGTACTGCTTGAGCTGAGCTTCAGAAAAGGGCATTAGACAGCTTAACTACATAGTACAGTAGTCCACCAACTCACTTGTACAAAAGTATAGGTTTACTTTTCAAGTTTAACTTCTACTGGTGGCAGATAATATAGGCTTGTCAATTCATGGTAATCCACCTTCAGGTTTAAAGTGATAAGTTAGGATCGAAACAATTTCATACCTACATAATCTTCCCTTTACTTCCCTGTTCCCTACCAGAATAGCACCATTGTACCATTCTCTGCCCCCACAGGAATCAGCTGAGGAGTCTTACTTTCTCCTCATCTTCCTATTGGCCTCTAGCCCTGCAGTGCAAACATACAGGTGTAATTCATCCTGTCTCTTATCAGGTGTGGCTCATCTTCTCTGGTCTATCCCGATGGCTCTTCTTTGCTAGGGTTGCCTTTTAAAATCCATTTATAAGGTGTATCTTAGTCCTTTTTGTGTTACTTTAACAGAATGTAAGAGACTGTGTGACTTATAAAGAACAGAATTATTTCTTACAGTTCTGGTGGGGGAAGTTCAAGGTCAAAGCGTGGTATCAGGCAAGGCCTTCTTGCTGCATCATAGCTGGGCAGAAGGCATCACATGGTTAGGGACCAAGAGATCAAACACATATCCTGAAGTCATTTTACAACAAGCTTTAATTGAGACTAATAATTAATTAGTGAAGGTGGGGCCTTCATGACCTGAACATCTCGGTATTAGTCCCTACCTCCCAACACTGTTGCCTTGGGGATTAAGTTCCCTACATGTGCTTTTTAGGGGGACACATTTAAACCATAATGAGATGTAACTGACATTCCTAAAATGTTCTAGTATTAAATGAACAATTCAATAAGTTTTGACAAAGGAATATAAGTATCACCTCAGTCATGATATAGAATAATTTTGTCCAAAAGAAATATAATGTGAGCCACATGTACAAATTAAAATCTTCCAATGACTACATTTTTAAAAACGTTTTTTTTTTGGTACCAGGGACTGAACTCAGGACCTTGCACATGTGAGGCAGGCAGCGGAACCACTGAGCTAAATCCCCAGCCCTATTTTTTTAGGGCTGGGGATTTAGCTCAGTGGCACAGTGCCTGCCTGGCAAGCACAAGGTCCTGAGTTAGGTCCCTGCTACAAAAAAACCCACAATTTTTTAAATACAAGAAACATAAAATTGATGTTAATAATATGTGATAGCCCAGTGATAGAGGACACCCAAGAACATGCCTAGCACAAATGAGGTCCTGAGTGTAATCCCAGTACCACCAAAAACAATAATGGTAATATGTTTTATTTCTTCCCCTCTTTCAGTCACTAGGCTTTTATATTTACAACCCATAGACCCTATGATTAATAACCCCATTGTAAATTATAAGTCTAGTTAGAAACTCACAAACAAAGAATATAGCCACAGTGGTACATGTCTATACTTCCAGATACTGGGGAGTCTGAGGTTAGAGAATTGAAAATTCAAGACCAGCCTGAGCAACATACCAAGACTCCAACTGAAAAAACAAATAAGCAAAACAACAACAAAAAAAGAGACTGTAATACTTACTCTGTCTTGTTTTTTCTCCCTGAGTGGTGGGTCCAAGGAAGACTTGGAGTTCTGTCTTGATTCTGCAAAACATTATCCTACTACAGTTGGCTCTCCATAGGGGGAAAACGTGAAAGGTCAGTTCCTGCACAGACAAAAGTATCACTAATGATTCAAAGGCAGGAAAGCCCAGAGCATATTTGGAAAAGCAATAATGATCATTAGATTGATCATGCTGCTGCTAATATCTACCATTTAGTACAACTTGGTACTATGTGTCAACTCTGGCTTAAACATTTTTCTCCTATTATCATTTTGATACTTCTTATAGTATTCTTATATGACTTTAACTTTACTGAAGTCAAAAGTTGTTAGCATCACCAGGGTTTAAACTCCAAGTCTGATTTTAAAGCATATACTCTTTTTTATAGTGGAAACATTATAACATGCTTTTACAAACCAGATATTAAAATTAATATTTAATTTTAAACATATTTTGTAAATTCTACCTGCATGCTTTTGAGTATCTAAACTACACATTAAACAGCTCAATACATTCGACTCACACTTCAGACATTTAAACACCAACAATCTATTAATATAGCTATTACTAAAACACAAATTTGGATAGAGGTCTTAGATTATTTTTAAGCTCATTTTAAAAGCATCACTCATTAACAATTTTTGCATAGTATTCAAAAACACTGCTATAATTTCTTTATTTATACTAAAACAAATATTTTGTCTAAAATGAATGTGCATTATAGTAGTTTAACTAGTAGAAGAATTTATTCCAACCCATTTGTTAAAAAGTGTATTTTGACAATATCTAAATCTACTTTTCAGTGATTTGTTCCATCATGACTACCAAGTTCTTTTTCAAATTATCAGAACTACTTTTTCAAAGAGAAGAGCAATGAAATTCCAGTCCATATGTCTTTAAAACATTTTACATCTAACATGCAAAGCATTATAGCTCATGCAGTAGGCAGTGTCTAAAAAATTAGATACTAAATCTCAAAAACATTTAAATATCTATTTACTCAAAAACATTTAAATGTCTATTTAAACTCAGTGTCTTCTAGATTTTTTTTGTAAGAAAAGTAATCTGTAAACATCTCTACCTCTAGTTCATGCTTGGTCATTTGCTGTTATCACTGTAGAAGAAGTGAGGATGACTTTATAACCATATGTAAAGTGGGTCTATCTTTGCAGAAATATTACATTCCATGTTTAAAGAACAAATCTTAGAATTACCGTGTGGTACAAATTTGTGAAATCAATTTCTATATTTAAAAACATAAAACAGAGACTACTAAACAGTCCAAAATTATTGTAGTTGAATATTGTAAATATGACCCAACAGTAGTACACTAAAAATGTCCAAAATTAAGGCCTCTGAAATAAATATTTCCATTCTTTAAAAAAAGACATAATAAATGTGCATCACATGATCAGTGTACATACAGAAGTCATTGGTCTAAACCATTCTAGATGATGTGTCTGGAGTAAAATGACCTAGGTTTTGCTTCTGTTGACATCCTCTATTGCTTTGAGGGCATTTTCTTACTATGCACATGACAATTGCTACTATAATGGCGATCTGCCCAGCTCCAGTAATGGCTGTAATAGGAACATACGTGAGTTTCTACCTACTTGGCACTACATAGAAAATACTGACGTCTGTCTTTGCACAGTGCCATCTAGTGTAACCAGATTCACATCTACAAGAAGCCTTCTGAGTAGAATAGATGAATTCACACTTCCCATGGGTGCAGAAACCATTGAAGTTTTTCGGGGCAAGACACATGGTTTCCAATATAAACATCTTCTCTTTGGTCACTGATATCTTTCACATCTTGTTGATATTGTACTCCATCACCTTTCTTTCCCAACAAACTAGTATCATCTGTGCCTGTGAAATGGCCATGATGCCTTATATCATTTGTTCTTGCAAGCAGATACTCTTAACCACTAGAACAGTTATTCTGAAATGATTTGGTCTGAGAACCTGCTTACAACCTGGAAAATTTGAGGACTCCAAGTGTCTTTCATTCATGTGCTTAATATCTATTGATACTTTCTTTGCTTATTTATTGATTTATTTTAAAACAACAATAAACCCATATTATATAGTAATATCAGTAGCTATTATGAAAATTACTATATTCTTCAAAACAAAATTTAGTAAGAAAAAGTAGCATTGTTTTATTTTTTTGCAAATCTTTTTATTGTGTGAATTAATAGAAGATAGCTGGGTTCTCAAGGCTGCCTCTGCATTCAGTGTGTAACCTCTGGAAAACTCCACTGTTCACTCATGAGAGAAAGAGCATAAAGAAGGCAAATAATACTTTAGTATTATGAAATAGTTTTGACTTGTGGGCTCCCTAAAGGAGTTTCAGGGTTCTCCTAAAAGTGCACGGACCACAATTTGAGAATTGTTGTATTAGGAAAATTATAAATATATTGATTCCAGTGTAGAGAAGAAATGGGCTTTGAGGGCCGGGGATTTAGCTCAGTGGTTTTGCTGCCTACTCTGCAAGCGCAAGGACCCAAGTTCGATTCCCCAGTACCAAAAAAAAGAAAAGAAAAGAAAAAAGAAATGGGCTTTGAGCTGGGAATCTCAGAGTAGGACCAGGTCATGGGAGGATGGCCACACAGTTAAGGAGCTTGGATCTTGCTCTGAGAGCGCTGGAAAAACATTGACGAATTTCAACTTGATTAGAGCTTTGTGTGTGGACAATTAGTCTGCCAAAAAAAAAAAAAAAAAAAAAAAACCAGGATGGATTAGATAGAGGATAGAGAGCAGCAATCAGTAAGAACACTACAAAGAGGCAGGGTACCATTATAAATGGAGCCAGGCTTTAGGACTTTCATAACAATTAAATGTGTTAATCAATATAAATTGCACAGAACAAAGGCTGAGGCAAAATAAGCACTGTTTGTATTAGAAGCATTTGTAGTAGATATAGACGTGATTAATATTAGCAGTGATACTATTGCTATTATTAATAATAATATTAGGTGAGCAGAAACAAAAACCTGAACTTGGCAGAATTAGAGAGACATTTTGCAATACTGTTCATAGAGTATATGCAATGTGATCCAAAAATACAGTGAATGTTTTAATTAAAAAGTTTATTGCAGAAAAAACCATGTCGCCATTAACTTCCTCCAAAATGTCCCCTCTTGCTTCAAATATACTTATCCCATCATGCTTGCCCCCATTTTTTTTTTTTGTACAGGGAATAGAACTCGGGACCTTGAGCTTGCGAGGCAGGCGGCAGAACCACTGAGCTAAATACCAGGCCCTCTTGCCACTTTTTGAAGCAGATCTAGATGTCCTCTTTCATGAGTATCTTTAGTTGTGTTATCATGGCTGTGTTGATGTCCTGAATCCATTCGAAACATTACCTTTCATGTTGACATTGGGGAAGAGCCAGAAGTCACATGGTGCTAGTTCCAGTGAATAAGGTAGATGAGGACACTCTGTAATGTTTTTAGGAGTCTGCCTTTCTGTTGGATGGAACTCAGCAGTATCAATCACCACATATTTGGCCACACCTCCCACAGACCCTCACAAAGAGAACTTCCAGAACTGCTTCAGAAGGTAGCAAGAACAATGGGCTGTGTTTAAAGCAAGGAGAAGTAGTTTAGTGGGAATTAATGACAGTGTGTCATGTACTGTAATATTTTTTATTTAAATACCTACATATATTTTGAACAGCCCTTGTAGTTACTGATTGGATGTAGGAGTGAGGAAATAAAAAACACAAAGATAATACTATTTTGCCATTTGACCAATATAAGGACGCAAGAAATATTCTGACAGTATATTCTCAATAAATTTGAAAGAGAGGGACGGAGAAGGGAAGAATGGAAGAAAATGGAGCCTACTGGGGTCAAAGAAGATGAGTTTGAGTCTGCTGGTTCTGAGGTACCAGTGGAATGTGCATATGGTGAGGACTTTAAATAGATAACACACTGTCCCATACATCAATTCATGTCCCTCCAATGTGGTAAGCACTTTCAGAGATTTTCCATCCACTTTGGATTTTATTTTAATATTTTATGACAGGTTGCTTGTCAATATGTTGGGGCAGAGTTTGGTTAGAATTTTGGCTGTCTGGGGGCGTGGCATGGAAGGGCTTTTCCCTTCCCTGCTCCTTCCTTTACTCTTGGCTTCCTGTCTGCCATGCCGTGATTATCTTTCCAATTTCATAATAGGCCAGCCTCCCATTTCCCAATATTTCACTTCCTGAACCCTCCAATGTGTCTCTCATTTGGGGTATTTGCACTACAATTTTGTTTCTTTTAAATGTCCTATACATCACACCGTCCCTTGACATACTTGACTCCTTTAAATTGACTGAAATGTTGCCTCCATGGACAGCCCTTTCCTGATATTTTTAGCCAAGTAAGTCTCCCTTCCCTTACATTCTTCCCTTTCACTGAATTCTATTCATTATCTTTCAGACTAAAAGCTTCACATGGACAGGGAATTTGAATTATTGACTCATGTCACTTAGATCTTCAGAGTACAGTTAGTCCCCCACATCTGTGGGTTCTGCATCTATGGAACAAACTACAGATGGAAAATATTGATAAAATATTTGAGTCTCTACTGAACATGTATAGACTTTTTCCTTGTCATTATTCCCTAAACAATACAGCATACAACTATTTACATAGCATTTACATTGTATTAGTTATTTTAAGTAATCTAGAGATAATTTAAAGTATTTGAGAAGAAGCTCATTAGTTATACACCAATACTGTTGTTATGGTTTATATCTAGATGTCCCATCAAAGCCTCATGTGCTCATAAGTGGAATATTTGGGAAGTGACCGGATCATGGGCCCATGATTTTCATCAGCGGGTTAGCCCACTGATGAGTTTCTAGCTAAGTGTGCTGTTGGGAGGTAGAGTCTGGTTGGAAAAGGCAGAGTTTGGTTGGAACTGTGGGTGTCTGGGGGTGTGGCATGGAACGGTTTCTCCCTTTCCCACTCCTTCCTTTACTCTTTGCTTCCTGTCTGCCATGCCATGAACAGCTTCTGCTCTGCCATGCCCCTGTGCCATGCTGTCCTGCCTGGGAGCCAGTGGACTGTGGACTGAAACCTCTACAAACTGTGAGCCAAAATAAACCTCTCCTCCTTTAAGTTGCAGGTACTGGGTATTGTGTCTCAGCTATGAGAACATGATTAAGGCAACTATGTTATTTTACGTAAGGAATTTGAGCACCCAGAGATTTTGGTATCCATTGAGGGGGGCCTGGAATCCATTCCCTACAGATATCAAGGGACTACTGTTGCATCAAAATATAAATGGAATTCAAGAGATGGGTCAAAGTGAAAAAACAGCACTGGGAATGTAGGGGAGTTTGTACTTTGTTTGAATTTATTTGAAATGTTTTAAGTTAACATCAACAAGTCAGCAATCTACAATGGGAACTTCATGTTTGTATTTTACTTTAAAATAGGATCGCTCAGTTTGTGAAATCTTCTCACTTATATTTATTCATGTTGTCAGCTGGAATATTAACTTCTGAAAGTTACCAAGGTAGCATCAGGGACACAGCACTCCTTTGCAAATGGCAACAGCCTCTCTCTTGCCTCAGAGTCCCAGTGATGAATGAGACTGTCTTGCTTTCTCACTGTGGCTTCTGCACCCTGTGAGCTACTCTGCCTTTGTGTTCAAAGGCCCACAGATGTACTCTGGATGAAGAAAACCAGGTTGGCTCAGGTGCATTTTCTGGATGACACTTATTCTAATCCTTATTCTTTGGGTTGACCTACCAGCATGTCTCATCTGTGACTGGTGAAAATAATCCCACCCTTAAAGGCCTCTTGATATTTCTAGGAAAACATCTAACAAAAGAAGGGCATAGCTCAATAAGGTTCAGGGTTTCCACCCATTCAGATAGGTAATTGTCAGGTTGAGTACTATAGAATCCTTTTTGAAAATAATTTTCTTTTGGAACTTTGAAGTTGTTGTTGGATTGTTTTTCAGGGGCCAGTGTTACAGAAAAGAAAAATCCAGTGACATTCTTATAGTTACTGCCATTAATATAGATGGACGGATATCATAAATCCATCCTCTGTTTTCTTCCAGAAAGGTTTTAGCATGTATTTTATAACCTTGATGTTCTGAAAATATACAATGCTTATGTAGTTATAGGTCATTTAAAAGTGGAACAAATAGCCAATTAGTCCTTTGAGTCTTAAGGACTTGCATTCTTTAATTGGAGAATATTTTCTTTAAGCATTTCTTCAATAAACTCTTGCCTTTTGATTTCTTAATTCTCTCTGTGGTAGGTGGATGCTGGGATTCATATAATAATCTCCTAATCTTATTGTCTCTAGTTTTTTTTCCCTCTTCATCTTTTCGTCCTACTTTTTACAAAATGACCATGTCTATACATTTCTACTTTGTAATGATTTAAAAGACAATTTGCCATTTTTTAATACCATGAATTTTCTCTTTTCTTATAATCTGCTTATTCCTTTTTAAAATAGTATTTTGTCCGCAATTTGTAGATTTATTTTCATTTAAAATATTTCTGCATGTACTAATTGGGATTCGTTTATTTTCACAAAAGTATGTCTGTTCTTTCCAGTATACATTTTTATATTTATTTATATTGATCTTTATTTTCCTTCACATTGTAGGTTTTACTCTGTTGAGTAGATGATCTCACATTGTCCAGTCATATGTGAGAATAATTCTGTGGAATGGTTGAGTGAACATGAATGCAACTTATCGACTGCTTGGTTTCATTAAGAAAGAGCAAGCACAGGGGTGATTCTGCATTTTGGAAAGCCTAAATGGCAAATGCAGAGGCACTCTGCTCTGGAGACCTAACTCCTACACTTAGCACGGTCCTCTCCAGACCACTTGTTTTAGATCTCCAAAAGGAAGAACTGTCTATTGTCTCCTCTAAAGAGGGGTGGGAAGAAGAGTTGAGCAGTGGTGATGGAGAGCAGCCGAGTCCATTCTTCTCTCAGTGAATTTCAGCTCCCTTCCCCTTTCAGCTCTCAGCTCACACCATTCTTGGCTAAGTCCTAAACTCTCCAGGTTTCAGCTAGGTACATGCATACTCTCATTAGCTGTGCCCTTCATCTGTCATCATCCTCCCATCTATTTTTCTTCTCTCAGAAAAATATGAAATCCACAGTCTACTTAATGGCTCTTCATAATTTTCTCTTTGTTGTTGTTCCTCTTTATTATTTTAAGGAGTCTTTGGAAGAAAAAAGAGATATACACTGGAGTACTACTCTGCCATAAAGAAGGATAAACTTGGGTCATTTGTAGGAAAGTGGATGCACCTCAAGACCATAATGTTAAAGGAAATAAATAAAACACACAAGCTTAAATATCGCATGGTTTCTCTTATATGAGAAACCCAAAATATAAATTAAAAGGCAAAATAAAAAATAGGAAACCAAGAGATAGATCTTTTGCAAAAGGGAAAGGGACCAGGAGATAGAGGGAGAGGGAAGAGGGAAGAGAGGGAAAGGAAGAAAGAAGAACTAAGATGTGTTATGTCCATATACCAACTACCTATGATGAATGTAGTCATTATGCACTGCAAATATATACTAATAAAAAGGCAATAAATACATATTTTCTTTTTCCACTTTCCAAAGTCAGGAAAAACTATTACCTTTTTAAGAGGGTAAACCAACCTTTCTTAGTTATTCTGCTTCTATATCCTGGAGCTTTTGTTTGGAAGTAGAAAAGCCATCTTCTTTGACAGTCTAAGCCATTCCTTTCCCCCAGTTATATCAACGAGTTTCTCTTTCAAGTATTGACAGCCCCCTCGGATGCCTTAAAATCTTGGAATATTGAGTTTTATTTCATGTGTAGGTGTGTAATGTTCTGAATAATAGGGAAGTGAATCACTAAAAAATAAATGGTCTTAAAACTTTTTAAACGACAAACAGTTCAAGTATTTCTTTATAGATGAACACATTTTCTTTTTTAAAGAAAAATCACTCTGCTTACTGTTTAGGTGTTCTCTTCAAAGAACAAGGGGAATGATGGCTTTTCAATGATTTATTAAATACTTTGTACATACTTACTGAATAGAGGCTTGGAACAGACTTCTCTAGGAAAAGGTAAAGGGAGTCATTATGGTGTGGAGTGGAGTAAAGCTGGATTTGAACCCAAGATCTGCCACATTCTTCTTGTTCTAGGTTAACATCTCTGAGTTACAATTGCCTCAGTGATAACCAAAAGTACCTCCTTTGGGGTATTGCTCCTGAGCAAGACCAATAGTGAGCACATAAAGAAATGAGCACAATGCTTGGCAAGTGCTATACACTGTCCAATGGCAGCTGAAGCAATTATGAGGTAAATAGGCTTTATAATGTCATTGCCTACCTTCCTCTTACCAATATATATAAGTACTTCTTTGTAGACATATCAAAGATTGTGTAACTCCACATGTCTTAGATGAAGCTCTTTTTACTGTCTCTCTCTGACCCTCTGCTTTTTTTTAAGCTCATCCCCTATCACTCAACCCTCAGGATAAAGAGCCAGGCTACCACCTAGTCAAAATTATTTAGCCCCAGCGAATTGTTAAACATTAATGCCTTCTTGGGACTGTTTGTTTTGCCATTTTAACAATTACTTATTGGGAAAGCACTGGCTAGCCTGTGACATAACAGATTTTGATGTCTCCCAATTATGTGTACTTTATGCAAGCTATGAATTAAAGCTATTGTGCTTTCCTGTGGAAGAGATGGCCTTTGCAGCTTCGTATTTGCCTAATGAGGTATAGTCCAGGAACCGGGCAGATGGAGTTCTTTTGACAACATTTATTTCCAGAGAAGCTATAAATGTACCACAAGGTGGTATGAAAACATCCAAGAATTGCTAAATTTGTAATTAATTTATTTGCCTCAAACATATTACCTAATAACTGTTTACAAATGGAGGAAAGAAAGTTTTACACTTTCATTTAAAAACAGCTATTATTATTGAACCCTACAAGATATAACGTACTGAAACAAACCACAAAACTTCTGATGAGAGCTGGACTTTTTAATTAATGCATGCATTTAACAAACTTTGGTGTGTCAGGCACTATACTTAGTCATGGGGGATCCAATGGTGAATAACAAAGGCGACATTCTCTCAGGAGCTTACTGGAGGAAGTAATTACTAAATGAACAAATGATTATCCCATGCCAGTTCTGGGGCTAGCACCTTGTTATGTACAGATACAACAGTAAGACATAGCTCCAGCTACAAAGATCCCACAGAGAAGAGAAGAGAGTGCCCAGATGCTATGGGTGACAGAAGAGCACTGTCCTCAGTCTACTTTTAGGAAGCTGGTGAACTAGCTAAAGGAGAAAGGGAGAAGAATTTCAGGAAGAAGAAAAAATATGTGCAAAGGTTCAGAGGCAAAAAAATCATATGACAAGCTGGGAAATCCTTGCAGTGTCCATGAGGTTTCCGGTGTGGTCTGTGAGGTCTTGATTAATACTATATGAAATAAGGGTAGAAAAGGAGATGGTAACCAGTTCTCAAGGGTCCATTAAGCTGTATTAACAGTCTTGGATTTGTCTTTTCCGAAGAGTTGCAGGAAGCCATACCAGGCAGTTAGCAGGGCACCTGGGGTGCTCAGATCTGGCTTTAGGAAGTAATCATGCTTGGGGCAACACAGAGAATGGAAGATCTTATCAGAGGCCGGTTCAGGGGAGCACTGCTCAGGGAAGATGGTGACCTACACTAAATTAGTGGCTGTACAAATGGACATTTGTGGGCAGAATTTTAAGGTTGCTAAGGGCCTGGAATTTATAGGACTTTCCAACTCTCTGGATGTAAGAAGAAAGATGACATTAGAAATGTCTCCTGAGTTTCTAACTTGGGCAGCTAGATGGATGGTGGGCACCATTAGAAAGATAGAAAGAGGAGTGAGTTTCTTAATCTTTGTATTTATTTTTTATGTAAAGTAGCCATAATTAATCATCTTTTAAGGGTTGTCTGCAGTACACTAAGTACTAAATACCTGGTGCAAAGGCGGTGTTTAACAAACATCAGCAATTAACTTTACCTAGAAAGTTTCATAGAAGTTAACTGTCGGAAGTGGGAGGAAAAGTGGTTAATGAGATCAGAAAAGATTCCACAAAGCTGTCATGCTGGGCCCTAAGTGATCAGTGACAGATCACTAGAGAATAGGTGAAGGGATGAGGGGAGGAAGACATTTATGACAGAGGGCACAGCAGGTATGGAGCTCAAAGTTCTTCGAGAAACTGGTAATGGCCCACTGTTTCTGGAGCCTAGGATTTAGGAAAGGGGTAGCAGAAAATGAACTAGAAATCTAGGACAGGAATAGATGATAAAGGCTATATAAATCAAGCTGGCGCCTGTCATCCTCCAGGCCAGCAATTGACAAAAGTGTTTCTGCAGAATAAAAGTATCCTACAGAATATAAATATGATCAATTTAATATAGGAGACTCTGGTTTTAACAAAGTTAAATTAACTTCTTTATAACAGGATTTCTCAGAGCTTTTTAATGTGAATTGGGTACCTCCAAAAGAGAGCTATACTATGGATTTTTTCAAGTTCTGCATCTCTTTTCCCATAACACTGACAGCACCTCAAAACACACTGATGATTCTGTGCCACTGGGTTTAGCAAACTGCTCAAAACAATGGGGAACAGTGGAAGGGATTCAAACAAAGGTGATGTGGGAACAGATCTATGAGTTAGAAAGATCACACAGACATAGTGAGGAGGGTAAATTGGTTGAGCTAAAGACAGAGGTTTGATGACCATAAGAAGTTAAAGGAGAGCCTAAGACAGCAAATTTATATATGCTAAATGGGGGCAGTGGTGGCGGAACAGACAGGGGCTCACATACACATGCTTGCATGTGTGTATGCATGTTTTAATAATATATGGGCACTTGGCAGGTGCTATTTATAGCCTGTAGAAACAAAGGAAAGCTTTATCAAGAAAATCCTAAAGCTCTTTACCAATATAATATATCAATATTTGAACATTTCTTTTGTATTTGTGATGGTTGTAGACCCTCCCATCAATGAGACAGTTTTAAAATCACTTTCCCTACTGAGCATACGAGCATAGTAGTATCAGAGAAGTAAGGAGCATTCCTCAAGTTCCAGAGCAGGTGAGAGGCAGACTTTTTGTTTTTCTTTTTGTTTTTTTTGTTCTTTTGGTACTGGGGATCGAACTCAGGACCTTGCACTTGTGAGGCAGGCGGCAGAACCACTGAGCTAAATCCCTGACCCTAAAGCCAGACTTTTGACCCTTGCTCTCCTCACTCTGTGTGCAGGCTGTCTTCATGCCATTGTGTTGCCTAGATCCCCTGGGACCTGGGATTTGTCGAATAAGTAGGATTTGCATAGATTGAAAAAATAAGTAAAAACTTTTTAGTTAGGAGGAAAAGTACAAAAAAGGACAGAGATTAAAATGTTTTATCCAGCAGTCTGGGAGTGGTATTGTGTTAAATAATCTCCTCATGAGTCCTATTGTCCTCAAGTCAGGGTAAGCTGCACGAACCTGTCACCTGTGCAATGGCAGGAAACCCACACTTAGAAGGGTCCCAGGCTTGGTGTCATACTCTGCTCTTGCTGTCTTACAATCTCAAATACATTTTGAACAAAGGGGCTGTGCTTTTATTTTGGATTCAGCTCTACAAATTGTGGAGCCAGTCCTGCTTCAGGACTAGGTCAGGTGTTTTACTTTCATTTTCTATGTCTATTCTCACTTAGCTGGATGCCTCTAAATTCTTACACTGTGGTTTGTCCATACTTGTTTAGTCTCTTATTTGCACAACACATAAGTTTTAATAGTTATCTCTACAATCAAGATGTGGGCTCCTTTTTAGTACTTCAAAAGGTTAGTGCAGTAAGCAGGTAGTAAATATTTGATGTTGAATGAATATATACCTCCAGCATCAGCCCACTGGCATAAACAGTTCCATTCTCCTTTGTAATGAAACCATATCTTCGAGTTAAGTTTTAAAAATAAAGAGCAGACCTGCTAAAATAATTCAGGGATAAGAACTGGGCAAGTAAATAAATTCAGCATCCATCCAGACAATGACAGGGCACATAATAGAGATTGTACCCAACATATAATGGGAGAGTGTTATGTACCATTTGGTGTTTTAAGAATTTCATGTGTATTAAGTCATGTAATTTTTACAAACACCCTATTATGTGGATACTAGTATTATTTGTTTTGGAAATGAAATTAAAATATGATGTGATTAACTTTTCCATGACTACACTTTTCGGAAATATCAAAGCCAAGATCTGAACCCAAGCAGACTTTGCTCCAAAATCATGACTTTAGCCATCTGCCTATTACACTTTACTGACCCATCTTAGGAAGAAGCAGACTCACATCTAGCCTTATACCATTACCTGCTGTATATGTGATAGCTGCTTTTATTCTCCATGGAAGAACATGCATGGGAGATGGTGGCACTGTAATTCTAAACTTGTCCTTAACTTTGTACCTTCTTTTGGCCCCAGGTCTTTTGTTCTTTTTTTTCTTTTTTTTTTTTAACTCTTTCTAAAATAGAATGAGTCAGCATTTGGAAGCAGGAAGTGCTCTAAACTGTTGGAGCTTTTTTGTTTAGATTTGTTTTGTTTTATGCAGCGAGAATTTTAAATTTTCATTCAATTCTCAAAATGATCTGTGATTCTAAAATGTTATATAGTCCCTGCCCAGGATGGGTGCTACTTGTCAGATGTAAATTCATAAACTTTGATCTTTATCCTTTATTCAGTCCTTGGACTTCTGTCAGATGCCAAATGGAAATTGCAGAGGTCTCTGCATGAGAGATATTTAATATAATTGTTTTGAATCCATATTTATTCCATAAATATTTATTGAATTTTAAAACATATACAACCTTGCTTACAAGTTCAAGGTCCATCTAGCTCTTGAATTCTGGCTGGTGTAACTTACCACACTAAAAACGGCCAGGACAGCAGCCTTGCTTGCATAACAGTGAATTTATCATGTCTCCCACATGTTGGGCTAAATTTACTCTGTGCTATGTCCAGTAGCTTCTCAAATTGCCTGTACTTTGAAGTTTCCCTCCAAAGAAGGGGAAAGTGGCAGACCATCAAGGTGTGGGGAGAGGGAGATTAATTAGTGACAGTCCTCAATGAGCAGAAAGGCCCCTCTCAGACTCCTGTGGGTCAGAAAGATTGATATTGTCCCTCCTACAGCTCTTTCTGAGCTCATTAAAGGGCAGAAAAGCAAAGATGAGGGGTATGAGGAAGAACTCTGTTACATTACAATTTTGTCCAGGGGTGGCCCCAGTGATTTTTGAAAAACAGTAATAATTTTTTCCCAGGGTACCAACCTAATATACCAGGAAGTTAATCAATTTAATTATCCAGTAACTGTCTACTAATCCTCTTTCTTCTTTCCTTGGTAGCACTGGAAATTGAACGCAGAGCCTTGCTTACTCTAGGCAAATACCCTTTCACTGAGCTACATCCCCAGTGCT